ACGTCAAGGGAAGATGTGTTCTGTACTCCACTGAATTGTTTATGAACAACCAATACCCATCATGCACTACGTCAATGGATGATGTGTTCTGTACTCCACTGAATTGTTTATGAACAACCAATGCCCATCATACACTACGTCAATGGATGATGTGTTCTGTACTCCACTGAATTGTTTATGAACAACCAATACCCATCATGCACTACGTCAAGGGATGATGTGTTCTGTACTCCACTGAATTGTTTATGAACAACCAATACCCATCATACACTACGTCAAGGGATGATGTGTTCTGTACTCCACTGAATTGTTTATGAACAACCAATACCCATCATGCACTACGTCAAGGGATGATGTGTTCTGTACTCTATTGAATTGTTTATGAACAACCAACACCCATCATGCACTATGTCAAGTGAAGATGTGTTCTGTACTCTATAGAATTGTTTATGAACAACCAACACCCATCATGCACTATGTCAAGGGAAGATGTGTTCTGTTCTCTATTGAATGTTTATCCACAACCATTACCCATCATGCACAACGTCAAGTGAAGATGTGTTCTGTACTTTATTGAATTGTTTATGAACAACCAATACCCATCATGCACAACGTCAAGGGATGATGTGTTCTGTTCTCTATTGAATTGTTTATGAACAACCAATACCCATCATGCACTACGTCAAGGGATGATGTGTTCTGTTCTCTATCGAATTGTTTATGAACAACCAGTACCCATCATGCACTACGTCAAGGGATGATGTGTTCTGTACTCACTCTATTGAATTGTTTATGAACAACCAACACCCATCATGCACTACGTCAAGGGAAGATGTGTTCTGTTCTCTATTGAATTGTTTATGAACAACCAACATCCATCATGCACTTCGTCAAGGGATGATGTGTTCTGTACTCTATTGAATTGTTTATGAACAACCAACACCCATCATGCACTACGTCAAGGGAAGATGTGTTCTGTACTCCACTGAATTGTTTATGAACAACCAATACCCATCATGCACTATGTCAATGGATGATGTGTTCTGTACTCCACTGAATTGTTTATGAACAACCAATACCCATCATGCACTACGTCAAGGGATGATGTGTTCTGTACTCCACTGAATTGTTTATGAACAACCAATACCCATCATACACTACGTCAATGGATGATGTGTTCTGTACTCACTCTATTGAATTGTTTATGAACAACCAATACCCATCATACACTACGTCAAGGGATGATGTGTTCTGTTCTCTATTGAATTGTTTATGAACAACCAATACCCATCATGCACTACGTCAAGGGATGATGTGTTCTGTTCTCTATCGAATTGTTTATGAACAACCAATACCCATCATGCACTACGTCAAGGGATGATGTGTTCTGTACTCACTCTATTGAATTGTTTATGAACAACCAACACCCATCATGCACTACGTCAAGGGAAGATGTGTTCTGTTCTCTATTGAATTGTTTATGAACAACCAACATCCATCATGCACTTCGTCAAGGGATGATGTGTTCTGTACTCTATTGAATTGTTTATGAACAACCAACACCCATCATGCACTACGTCAAGGGAAGATGTGTTCTGTACTCCACTGAATTGTTTATGAACAACCAATACCCATCATGCACTACGTCAATGGATGATGTGTTCTGTACTCCACTGAATTGTTTATGAACAACCAATGCCCATCATACACTACGTCAATGGATGATGTGTTCTGTACTCCACTGAATTGTTTATGAACAACCAATACCCATCATGCACTACGTCAAGGGATGATGTGTTCTGTACTCCACTGAATTGTTTATGAACAACCAATACCCATCATGCACTACGTCAAGGGATGATGTGTTCTGTACTCTATTGAATTGTTTATGAACAACCAACACCCATCATGCACTACGTCAAGGGATGATGTGTTCTGTACTCTATTGAATTGTTTATGAACAACCAACACCCATCATGCACTATGTCAAGGGAAGATGTGTTCTGTTCTCTATTGAATGTTTATCCACAACCATTACCCATCATGCACAACGTCAAGGGAAGATGTGTTCTGTACTTTATTGAATTGTTTATCCACAACCATTACCCATCATGCACTACGTCAAGATAAGATGTGTTCTGTTCTCTATTGCATTGAATTGTTTATCAACAACAATTACCCAACATGCACAACGTCAAGGGAAGATGTGTTCTGTACTCTGTTGAATGTTTATCCGCAACAATTACCCATCATGCACTATGTCAAGTGAAGATGTGTTCTGTACTCTATTGAATTGTTTATCAACAACAATTACCCATCATGCACAACTTCAAGGGAAGATGCGTTCTGTTCTCTATTGAATTGTTTATCAACAACAATTACCATCTTTCACTACGTCAATAAAGATTTGTTCTGTCCTTTATTGGAGTGTTTATCAACAACCATTACCCTTCAAGCGGTACTTCTCTATGGAAATTATTTTCTTTATAACATTGTCACGTGTGAGCTGAAGAACTTCCTTTGATATCCGAGCCCAGAAGAGCTTAGTTAGCTTCATTACCGCCCTATTAAAGCTAGCCTATTTTATTGTCGTATGATCCTATAAATAGACAGGAGTACCCGAGTAAGAGATACTCACAATGGACATTACAAATGGTTGTCTGTTCAGATGAAGAGATCGTGATATGATATGGTTGAAGGGAAGATGTGATTAAAGCCTTTAAGTGTCTTCAGCAACCGCGACGTCTCATGCTGGGGCCTGCGTGGTTACGCCGGAGACTGCAGTCGACAAGGCTTGGATAGGATTTTTATATTGATTTCATCTAAAAGCAGAATAGAACACTTTTATGTTGTTTGCGTGTTATTACGGACGAAGAAGTACATCGAATTAACTTATTGACTAATAGCCCTTTTAAGTATAAACGCGGAAAGTATAAGGCTTCGAGAGTCAAGCTCTGACTGCCTGCTGGAAAGCGCTGTCTTCATGACTGACAAAGTGCAAGTTTATAACCTTTGATTCCCTGGAAATCGATCATCTGTGGTTATCAAAGGATTACAGAAAAACTGGCGTGCATGGCTCACATGACGTTCAATGTATGGTATGCCGCGTTACACTGAATCCCATTGTCCGCTGCAGCCACTGGCATATGCAGAGAGACTTAAGTAGAGTTGATGTCATACGACACCAAACAGTCGTGATAATACACCAATGTACGAGGTGACATGTATTAGGATTACTCAAACGACCAGGACATTTTCACCACAGGACATTCCCACAACAGAACATTCTCACCGCAGCACATTCTCAACACCGGATATTCCCACCACAAGACATTGCCATTCAAGGACATTCCCACCACAGGACATTCTCACCACAGGTCCATCACAGTCTCACAAGAGGACATTTCAACCACAGTCCCACCACGGGACATTCCCACCAAAGGACATTTCCACCACATTCCCACCAAAGGACATTTCCACCACATTCCCACCAAAGGACATTTCCACCACATTCTCACCACAGGACATTCCAACCACAGTCTCACCACGGGACATTCCCACCACAGGGCATTCTCACCACAGGACATTCCAACCACAGGACATTCCAACCACAGTCTCACATCAGGACATTCCCACCAAAGGACATTGTCACCACAGGCCCACCACAGGACAATCTGTCCACAGGACCATCACAGGACATTCTCACCAACAGGACATTCCCACCACAGGACATTCCCACAACAGGACATTCTCACCGCAGCACATTCTCAACACCGGACATTCCCACCTCAGGACATTCTCACCACATTAACTTGAACATTAACTTGACACTGAACCACGTTGCATGGCCAGACTAGTTTGTGGGAAGCCTTCAAATAATCTTGTGACCAAACTCAATGTCAACACGAATAATTAATATTAACGCAAAACTCCGTGTTTCTGTATTTCCAGTCGGTCTGAAGTTTCATGTTTGACGCTACACACTATTGTCTCAGCTGTGCGTGGATACGTAGAACCTATTTATCGAATTCTAACAGTTTTATTAGAGACATATCAAGCAGTTCAAGGACACTGTATACGTATAACGATCGTGCATATAGAAGCCCATAAGCCATGTGTCTCTCCTCAAACCTGCTGTCACAGTTACCGTTAGATCGGCTTGAATGGGACCCCGCCAATAGCTGCAAGACTGCCGATGCGGCGTTAAGCAATAATTTCTCACTTATCATTTGACCATGTGCAAAGCGACCTTTGTCATTAACCTACCCCTCGTGCTGCTCTGTACAACCTGCTCGAGGTTTCGTTCTGTTAATTACTTGTTCGCCGAAGTTCCGACAAATTCGACGATGATAACAATCGATTTGTGTCGGTCGTATTTCAATGGAATAAATACTTGAACTGCCAAGAGAATGCAGGCAATGTGACCTAGCCGAGTCTAGTGTGATTTGATATGTGATATATAACTTTGTTTGGAATCCCAGCTATTCAACTTCTTTTGTCTTGCCATCCGGGGCTGTTACCTGTTTCAAACTTATGAATTCATATTTCCATGATATGAACCCTCACTGTTGTTTGCACGATAAATACGATACTGACTATACTGTATAAGGAGGGACCGAACATTTGAAATTCTGGTGCGGGATGCGGGCAGGGCGTGGTGCCTTCCACAGAATGCGCGTGTGACAGCAGATAGAGGCCAAAATTAAGCCTACACAGAAAACTGTTCAAATTAGTTTCAGCATGGCATTTCCAAATATATGTTGAAGGCTGCTGATTACTGTTTCACTCATAACTAAAGCTACACGTGTATTACATAATGTTACATGTGAGTTACAGACTGTTACACTGTGTAACCGAATGAATACATGTGCTACAGAATTTATCATTTGTTACAGAATGCTACATTTAGGTTACAGAACGTTACATTCATCTTTACAAAATGCTACATGTATGTTACAGCATGTTACACGAGTCTTACAGACTATTACATTGTGTTACAGAATTGTAGCCGACCAGCTGATGAGGGGCAAGCAGGTGGAGGCGGAAGCCTTCGACAACGTCACCATCTACTTCAGCGACATCTGCGGCTTTACGCAACTATCATCTGAGAGCACACCGTTACAGGTAAAAGCCATGTGTGACTTTACACCACCGCCATCACAAAACACTTCCTTCCAGCAATCAAGGGTCGGTGGGTAAGTAGGATGCAGGTGTTATAAGGCGGCGTGAAATGGGGTTTAACGTCCCATTCAAGATTACGAGGGTTGATTGATAAGCTCTGAACCTCACATAGAAAACCTGACCTCAAGAGATCTAAAGGATTTGTTTTTCAACATAATCTTCTTCAACTTCATACACATTTACCAACAACGAGGGATTTTACCCCAGGTTCGTAGAAGTCCTACTGTCCAAACAGCTGCTATGACTTCAGCATCGAGTCGAACTGCGTTCCGGCTAGAGCTTTCTTCGTGTTTGGAAGCAGATTGAAGTCTGACGTAGCCAGATCAGGAGAATATATATAAGGTGGATGCTGAAGCAGGCAATGACTGATTTGCACTGGCGATATAACCTGATGGATCAGCACGCCTTTTCACATCTTCCCACGTTTCTGAGTCTTAATTTCTTTAAATGTGATTCAAACGTGCTGCACAATGTGCTCCGTTTATTGTCTGGCCATAACCTTTCCAGCTGATGAGACAGTCTTTATCTTCTTGGTGGTGGTGATGTCAAATGCTTCCTTTATTTTCATTGGCTGGAAGTGGTGAACCCAGGTTCTACCCATAGTCACAAATCTTTGCAAGAACCTTTCTGGGTCAGCTCCAAACAGAGTTAAATTATCACGAGACATGTTGTGCCTTTTTTTATCAGATGTCGGAAGCTTTGGAACCTTACGAGTTGATAGTTTCCTCGTTTCCATTGTTTCTGTGATAATGGAATGTACTCCCCTGGGAAGTTGCAGTTCAATATTTCGCTTAGTCATCCGCCAGTCGGTTTAAACCATACTCTCCATATCATCACCATCTTCTCCCTGGACGGGGGCGTGTTCAAGGTTTACACTCTGCTGCCCATCTCTTCACAGAGGCACAGGGCATCCTTCCCTAGAGTTGTACTCACATCTCCATGAACGTCGTTTGGTGTGAGCCCGTTTTTCTGAAAGTAATTGATCACTGAACATTCCTCGACGGTGTCCGTTTTCTGAAGATCACAGATGACTCCCTTTTTTACTGACTTGTCATAGCGAAACAATTTGCTCAGTTGACTCATTTTTTTGTGTGGAAATACCTCTGTGGCACAATGCATTGTCCACATCAAACGACTTCACTATTACGCATTTCCTTCCTTTGCTGCTCAGAACTAATCAATGAATCGCTCCTCGTATATCACTTAGACTAATGGTGGATTTTAGTGCTAGCCCACTGACACACGAGTCGTGCCGCAATATGGGTATATGCATGGACTATCAAGGTATATTTGGATTGTCGTTTCAAGTACACGAATTGCAATGTGACGGTCAAGTCTCCCGCGCGTCTGTCCCGGCTGTCATCGTGCGCTGTGCTGACTGTCTGAGGAAACTACAGTCTTCAGATGTCGCCGTAACGAGCTCCCATAAACGGCCTCCAGGGAAACCTACAAGGGGTTCTGCATTCATCTGACATATTCAAAGTGACAAACATCTTGACACTGAAAAATGCGATTTGGAAATAATTGTGAAGTTTTCAGAAAACACGCCATCTGCGCTGAGCATTTGTGCTGATTGATCAGGGCTTTTTTTGTTACAGAAAGCTTTTCTTCAAATTGCTTCCTATTCTTTATATTGCAATTACTCGTCACTACTTCATGCAATGGTAAACGTGGGACTGACCAAGCTGAGACTAGGTAGAGTGACTAGATGGTATAGTGTGTGATAATGTGGCCTCCCTCTGTGTTGTCACTGACATACACGAAGCTAGGGCCATCAGTACTATCTTGATAAAAACTCCAGACTCTAATAGTACATGCTTGTAGAGTGTTTGTTATGTTTGTTTGTTGTTTAATGCCGTTCTCAGCAATTGTCCAGCTATATGACGGCGGTCTGTAAATAATCGATTCTGGACCAGACAATCTAGTGATTGACATGATGAGCATCGATCCACGCAACTGGGATACGATGACATGCATCAACCCTCTCCCGTTTATCGCCTCTTACAACTAGCATATTCGCCTTTTACGGCAAGCATGGGTTGTTGAAGACCTATTCTACCTCGGATCTTCACGGGTTTGACTAGATAATATAAAGTGTTGTACAGGTATAGTGTTTCAGGTTGAGTAAATAAATGGTATATTACCATACCTCCATGTCAGATTGATGACATATGTCTGGCTCACGTTATCTTCCCTGGGAGGGTAATACCTTTCTGAGAGGGAGAATAAATCCCTTATATCCCGCCAAGAAGAAGACAGGTTGTACGTGGATTTCTGAGAGGGAGAATATATCACTTATACCCCGCTTCGAAGCCAAACGCCGCACTCTTTTTCCGAGTCAATGAAAGTCACGTGACACAATACAAGATAACCTCAGCTCACTCGAACAGCTGTTTTCTATCAATTTTGAATTTGCTTTAATTCTTTTCCAATGGCAGAGTTAAGCATGCGGGTAAGATTTGTTGGTTGTTGTTTAACGCCGCACTCAGCAATATTCCAGCTATATGACGGCGGTCTGTAAATAATCCAGTCTGGACGAGACAATCCAGTGATTGATATCATGAGCATCGATCCACGCAATTGGGATCGATGACATGCATCAACCAAGTCAGCGAGCCTGACCACCCGATCCCGTTAGTCGCCTTTTACGACAAGCACAGTCGCCTTTTACGGCAAGCATGGGTTGCTGAAGAGCTATTCTACCCCGGAATATTCACGGGTCACATGCGGGTAAGATAAATTCGTTGTATCAGTATCACTCAGGGTTTCAGCGTCCCGCGTTAGGTTTTGTACCCACTCGTGAAACTGCTACATCTTTTAGTTCATGTTACAGGTACTGTGAGCAGAAGGTATAGTGTGTTACATTAGAGTGACCAGCTGGGAAGATAAACGTGCCACTGACTTGCAAGGTCAATTGAACAGCAAAATCCATTTAATTGATACACCCGAAAAAAAATAGAAAAAAAGACATATCCATTTATCAATTGCAATTCACTAACGCAAAACTTGACGTGGGCTGCTGATATTTAACTGACAGTGATTGAATATAACATTGACTGATTATCTGTGCGATTGCCCATCTGCTGTTGTGCGCCACGTGTTCCCGTATACGTCGAGCATTGATGCAATGAATACACCGATAACTGTTAATAAAACATAGACACCATCTCCGCTGACACAAAGCAATCTTGTTGATGTGATTAGACACCTGGTGCTCTGTGTATTGGAGCACCGGTCTAGGCTCACCCAACTGTCGCTCCAGGTTGTAGAGTTCAAGGTGTCGTGTCAGGTGCAAAGCGGAAGTCACGCACACGCAGGCTTTAGGATGCCATAGGTCTTAGGGGATTGTACAAAGTGGTCAGCGCACGTCAACATAGTATTCATCAACGCGGACATGCTTTGAAAATGATCCCATTTAACCTCTTTGATATTCGTCCAAACAACAACAAAGAAGAGTTCATTACAAATTAATTAACTCTTAAAAAGAAAAGACAAACAGACGCTGTGGGGAATAAGTCAATATTTAATTGACAATATATTGTTTATGCGTTAAAACAATGTAAAAATAACTCCCGAACTAAAATGTACAACATGAAACAATAATTAAAAACTAACGAGCCCTAGGAGGGGGAGTCTTACTTTCTCGCCTGCAGGGAGAAGACTGGGCGTCATGGATGATGCGCGGTGCCCTCGCGGTAGCAGAAGCACGTGCGGATCGTGACCTGAGCAGCGGATCGGCTGCGTTGTGCTTACCGAGTTGAACTTAAATAAAGCTTTACTCATTATTTACCACTTGTTATCTTTGACAGCTCCCTGTTGTGGCGATAGTTTGTACATTTCTATTGATTGCTCTTCGTGTTAATTGACGGTAGACATCTAACACACATCGATGCATCCGAGAAATATCACACAGTACTTCGAGATATGCACTGTGGCACTTCACACGATGCCTTCGAGATATTCACCGCGACACTAAACACGAAACATGCGAGATATAGACTGCGACACTAAACACCATACATGTGAGATAAGGAATGCAACACTAAACACAATACATCCGAGATATATACAACGATACGTAACACGATACATCCGAGATATATACAGTAATGAGTAACACGATACATCCGAGATGTGGACTGCGACACGTAACACGATACATCCGAGATGTGGACTGCGACACGTAACACGATACATTCGAGATTTGGAGTGCGACACGTAACACGATGTATCCGAGATGTGGACTGCGACACGTAACACGATACATCCGAGATTTGGAGTGCGACACGTAACACGATGTATCCGAGATGTGGACTGCGACACGTAACACGATGCATCCGAGATTTGGAGTGCGACACGTAACACGATGTATCCGAGATATGCACAGTGATGAGTAACACGATACATCCGAGATTTGGAGTGCGACACGTAACACGATACATCCGAGATTTGGAGTGCGACACGTAACACGATGCATCCGAGATTTGGAGTGCGACACGTAACACGATACATCCGAGATTTGGAGTGCGACACGTAACACGATGCATCCGAGATTTGGAGTGCGACACGTAACACGATGCATCCGAGATTTGGAGTGCGACACGTAACACGATGTATCCGAGATATGTACAGTGATGAGTAACACGATACATCCGAGATTTGGAGTGCGACACGTAACACGATATATCCGAGATTTGGAGTGCGACACGTAACACGATGCATCCGAGATTTGGAGTGCGACACGTAACACGATACATTCGAGATTTGGAGTGCGACACGTAACACGATGTATCCGAGATGTGGACTGCGACACGTAACACGATACATCCGAGATTTGGAGTGCGACACGTAACACGATGTATCCGAGATTTGGAGTGCGACACGTAACACGATGCATCCGAGATTTGGAGTGCGACACGTAACACGATGCATCCGAGATTTAGAGTGCGACACGTAACGCGATGCATCCGAGATATGGAGTGCGACACATATCACGATACACCCTTTCAGTTCCATCGCTCATAGTATACTAGCTTTAATCCTAACATTTTTATATTAACTGTTTGTAACGAGCTAGCTTTAATCATAACATTCATGATATAAACTGTTTGTAACGAGCTAGCTTTAATCCTAACATTTTTTATATAAACTATTTGTAACGAACTACCTTTAATCTTAACATTCATGATATAACCTTTTTTTTTAACGAGCTAGTTTTAATTCATAATATAACCTGCTTCGCGGAAATCTCTAAAATCTAGCTGTCCAGTTTTACAGTTGTTGTAGGTGATAATTCCGTTTCGAGTTCACAATGATAAAAACGTTTGCTCTGGTTTGGCGGCGAGTTCGCGATCTTAATGAGATTACTTCCTACAGGAGGCTGGCGAGGTTGAGTTAAACTGAACGCGTGTCACGCTGGTTTTTGTGCACATCAGCTGCCAGCAGAGTAATGCAATGTTTTTCATCAGAAGTCATCTATATAAATTATTCTTTTCCTCGACTCTTAACATGGAAGTCAGTTACCCCGGGGCGCCGCAACGATTGTTCCGCCTGGTTCGGGTGGTGATAGTGAAGCCAAGTCCTTGAAACGGCCTTCTGTTGCCAAACTGAAGGTAGATTTACCATCTGAGTACAATCGTTGAAGCCCATTTCTGGTACACTTGCCGTGATATTGCTGGAATATTGTAAAAACTGCATGAAACCAAATTAACTCACTCAATCTGACTTTATTGGCAGTCTAGATTCCTTCGAGGCTGCCCTTTCTCCATCTAGGTCGTTCGCTGACCTGTATTTAAAGTAGCATTATATGTTTAGTATCTTTAAATTCGTCATGTTTTTTTCTTGGTTTTTCTACAAAAAGATATGAGTAAGTTGCATGCTGTAGGGAGTTAATTGGAGACTCGACCAATACGTTGAAGATCTCCCCTCCCCTAAGCAGGGAACGTGTTGAAGAAATCTCGCAGCATACCTTCTGGTAACATACTGACTATATTCAGACGCATACGATATAATGTCGATAAACCATTTCATAGTTGATACGTAAGTAAAAAAGGTTGTTTTAAATACATAGTTTTGAAAAATATTATGTAGATACTTTCCTTTGGTTCCGGGGCGGTCACTATATAATTATCAATATTTTGTATCTGATAAGTAGAATCCTTTAAGTAGCAAAACCTGGTATCTAGATACATTTCATTAGTACCCTGAGCCATTTTATATTGAACTGACTTGAATTTTGGGAGTTTAACGTCTACTTCACAGTTGATGTATTTCGAAGACGGGGTAGGTGGGGAATGATAAATATGAATCATTTAAAAATTTAGATAAATCACCATACCAAACAAACAATAACTGAAGGGAAAAAAACTATCTAATAATATCAATGTCTATAATATATACATATAATGTATTTATAACTATGTATTATATCTTAAGTTATTATTACAAGAGAGGGTACAGATTATTACATCGCTAATACTATATTAGGATAGCAGTAGATGTTTCAGAAACATAATATTGTAATTATATTTTCGCGTTTTTTATTATTAACATTTTTTCCAAATTCTATTTATATTATAAATATGACTTCATAAATAGAGTAGCAGTCAGTGTTGTTGTAAACACACTACTGGCCAAGCCGTCACTACTCAGTCGAGTATTAACAGACAGTTGCCTGAGCTGATCCCCACTCGACACTAATTGCCCCGTTTATCCTTAACCCACAATGAGTTAACATTGAGTTCATTTCGCCTGTTTATGTTTGCCTGTTGCATGTGTTCTAGGTTCATGTTTCCTGACACATGTTCCAATGTAACCGTTCTTCTGATATGTCAGTGGGTATCTCACGTCAACTGTCGTCTCTCCAGGTGATCGACCTCCTCAACGACCTGTACACGTTGTTTGACGCCACCATCGAGTACTACGACGTTTACAAGGTGGAGACTATCGGTGACGCTTACATGGTGGTCAGTGGGCTCCCCAACAGGAACGACAGCCACGCCGGAGAGATCGCCTCCATGTCGCTCCATCTTCTCGAGGCCATCAAGAAGTTCCGCATGAAGCACCGGCCAGACACCCTGAAGTTGCGGATTGGCCTTCACTCCGGTCCCTGCGTGGCTGGGGTGGTGGGCCTGAAGATGCCCCGCTACTGTCTATTCGGGGACACTGTCAACACTGCGTCCAGAATGGAGTCCAACGGGGAACGTGAGTGTTTGCCTTAATTATTTCATTTTCATCTAAAGCTTGCCAATCAATAACGGTTATTGGCAGAGATGAACAGATCTGCTTATGAAGTTCTCTCACATCGAGTCAAAGGAACGGATGTGTAAAGTTATGTGGGGCAATTAATCTGATGAATATTGATGGCAACTTGTCTGTATCCCTTTGTCCCACACCCAGCTAGTGTTCAGTACGTAGGGGAACCGTGTGCTTACCGTGACATGCAGGGCGATACGTCGTGCACAAGGCAGGAAGGTCGTGAACGTTCAGTGACGGAAGGAAAGACTACTGTACCACGACACTCTGTCAGATAGTATGGAAACATTTATTTAAACACCAGTATTATACTGAAGAATTTGTGTCCATCCAAGACTCTCTAATGCACATGTCATGTACTTCCCGCGCCTCCAATAGTTTGCATTTGTAGCATGTATACCTATAAGATATTTTGTCGCTTCCATTTTGTTTTATTTGTCCAAATTTAAATCATCGTCATGCCCCGCTCCTCCTCCTTCTCCTCATCTCTCTCCTCTTCTCTTCCCCGTCCGTTTGCTTCTCCTTTTTTCTCGTTTTCTTATATCCCCATTCTCCTCACTCCTCCTTCTTTCCTCACCCTCTATATTTGTTCCTCTCCTTCCCCCTTTCCTTCCCTCTCCTCCTCCCTTTTTCTCTCTCCCCCCCCCCCCCCCCCTTCCCTTTCTTCTCCCCCTCACAGTATTCATTATCCCTTCTCGTGTCTTGTTTGATTTATCACAATCCGTCGCTCGTTTACCAGAACAAGGATGGATTGTGAAGGAAACTTTATGACTTTCGTAAAGGAATCTTTATAGTCGACAGACAAGCACTGCATAGATTGGATGTCCCAGCTTCACCCCTGCCCCCGCTACCGCCGTGTCACCCTGACCCACTACAAGCACCCTCTGTGACAGACACACAAGGGACACGAGACAAACCCATATTCCATGTGTTCTTCAATTAATAACTAATTTAAAACTAGATCCGAACAGCTGGTTGGTTAAATGGTAGATTGCGCACAGACATCCCATTTATATTCTCGAAGTTATCCGCGACACTGATGTTTACTTTATGTTTCAGCATTGAAGATTCACTGCTCGCGTCAATGTGCAGAGCTCCTCCACAAAATAGGTGGCTATACAATCGAAGACAGAGGCTTTATCACACTGAAGGTGACCACGTTACGTTAAGTCATTATATTTAATGGATTAAATACGAACTGACATAATATTTATCTCCCAGTTGCAGAACTATAAAATAAAATTAGCGATGTTGCGACGCAGTAGTTCCAGCCCCTTGAAATTTCCTAATAACCTCATGTCGGGGGGCAGCTGTCAGGTTGCGGCGTTGAGATGACGTTAACGTGTCACTACTGCGACAGCGGGGTGCTATATCTTTTCCAACATTCAGTTACTGCTCTACCATGTGACACATAACGTGATATACTAAAGACAATGGAGGCTACTCCGTCAGTAGACGTGGCAAAAAGCATGACATACTAAAGACAATTGAGGCTACACCGTCAGTAGACGTGGCAAAAAGCATGATATACAAAAGTCAATGGTGGCTACACCGTCAGTAGACGTGGCAAAAAGCATGATATACTAAAGACAATGGTGGCTACACCGTCAGTAGACGTGGCAAAAATCATGATATTTATACTGGAGTTTCGCTGTCTGTAGACCTGTCAAAAAGCATGATATATAACTGAAGCAATCGAGTACACCACCAGAAGAAAGTAGCTACTCCAGGGTTGCTGTGATGTTGGTGCTGCTGATGATGCAGTGGTCGCAGCCGTCATCCAGGTCATATAAATCTTTGCTTCTGTTTGATCAAACACACTAAGCAACCCCAGAGCAGATATTACGTTACAATACGAGGGCAAGAGATATGGCCTCGGTTGCGCTGCTCCATCATAACGATCAAGTTGAAACACGAAGAAGACTGATATCAGCATGGCGTGATTCAGTGTCAGTATCAGGTAACAGATGTGGGTTTTATCCAGCAGTAAATCAGGCATAAAAGCTTAAATCCCCAGTTCGCTGTGCAGAGTTGCTTCCCGTTGGCGTGCCAGAACCCTGTTACCGTGGACTGGAATTCCAGGTTCCTCCTGATTATGATACTAAGGTTGTCAATACCACGCCCGTACCCATGGATTTCACAAAAGTGACTAATTGCGATAAAACCCTTTCAATATTCATACGAAATCGATATCGTCTAAAAACAGAGTCGACTTGCGATTCCGACATTATCGTGAGCATGTATGTGTGAATCACTATCAAATAGTGATGCCAGGTGTTCGCGAAAAGGTGAGCGTATCCTGTCCCATTGGTTGTACCCGTCACAAACACATGCAAATGCAGGTCAATTGCTTCTCACATATTTTTATGATGGGAAACGTTGACGGATAAGGTTTTGAAACCGTGACGCCCCCAGTGAAGTAGCTCGTGGGGTATGGAGAGCGACATCGCCATCACTATTTCTGAATAGTATTACACAATGAACAGAATACCTTCTCTGACGTCACAAACATAAAGCTGAGCGGAGTTTCCAGCTCAGACATACATGAGATCAACACAGTTCCAGCTCTCCGTCCGCGCATAAGCAGTCTTTCCACCAGGCCACATGAAGAGCTACACGAATAGGCATACTACGGTGTTGTACATTTTTAACACAACCTGTGCATGCGATTTGAAATTTTCAGACAGCTCATAGCTTAACTTGAAGGTCAAAATCGCTAGATCGAAAGTGCATAATTGTATTATTATATCTGTGTTCTTGTGATAGCTAGATGCATGCTACTTTCTGTTTGAAATTGGTTCCGTTTGGCTTGTCGTTCCACAGTGTTGTAATTAAACCCAAAGTGCTTATAACTTGATATTAAAGTAGCTGGGGTATGAGGCTATTGTTTTAAATATGTACCGCAAAAGACAACGTTAGGCGTCACAGATGAATATTGCGATATATTGGTGAGAGGCGCTGATTTGGTGAACTCTATTAAAGTGGGTACATGACACATGCTTTCAGTGGGAAGGCTTGGGGGATTCAGGAAAAGCTCCGAACCGGTTCCGTGTTGTAATCCCACACCGGGTCTCTCGTCCGTCTTGGCAGCAGTATAACTTGGTGCTTGTTTCAGGGCAAGGGCGAGATGAGGACGTTCTGGTTGACGGGGGAGGATGAGGAGAAGCGCCACCACCGGTTTAAGCAGCTCGCTCCTCTCGACACGACCCCATTGTCGTCCGCGGGGTCCTACAGACGTCTGGTGGGAGTCCACTACAAGGAGCCAAACAGCCCCTTCCGGGAGCAGGGTTCCCCGGGGGCCCCAGAGAAGGCGACACTGCCCAATGGCACCACTGTAAATAATCAGATTCCCTCCTTTCTTCACCCACACGGACTTTTCTCGGGCCCCAGCAGTGCGGAGTTGCTGCGCAGGTCCTCGTCCAGGCGGCGGAGGCTCAAGTTTACTGTGGGTTCTGAAGATGAGGAGATGAAGGAAAATCCAGCGGAGTACCAAAAGACGAATGCAACAGTTGAAACAACACCTCTCATATTGAGGAAAACTGACACTGGAGAGGAAAATATGCTATTTTCTAGATGCACAAGTAGACTGTAGCAGTGGGGTGATTTATGGGGGAACTGTGTTGTGTATTCCCGAAAACTATAGGTAAATTCTGTTGGTGTATTCCTGAAAAATGTGGGTGAATTCCTGGAAACTGTGGGTGAACTGTGTTAGTGAATTGCTGGCAACTAGGTGAACTGTGATGGTGTATTCCTGAAAGCTGGTTTATTTATTCCTGGGAACTGGTTGAACTGGTTGGTGTATTCCTGGCAACTGGTTGAACTGGTTGGTATATTCCTGGGAACTGGTTGATGTTTTCCTGGAAATTGGTTGAACTGGTTGGTATATTCCTGGAAACTGGTTGAACTGGTTGGTATATTCCTGGAAACTGGGGTGTATTCCTGGAAACTTTTTGAACTGGTTGGTGTATTCCTAGAAACTGGTTGGTGTATTCCTGGGAACTGGCTGAACTGTTTGGTGTATTCCTGGAAACTGGTTGGTGTATTCCTGGGAACTGGTTGAACTGGTTGGTGTATTCCAGGAAACTCGAGGTGTATTCCTGCAAACTGGTTGGTGTATTCCTAGGGACTGGTTGAACTGGTTGGTGTATTCCAGGAAACTCGAGGTGTATTCCTGAAAACTGGTTGAACTGTTTTGTGTTTTTCTTGGAAACTGGTTGATGTATTCCTGGGAACTAGCTGAACTGGTAAGGATGAAGGAAAATCAAGCGGAGTACCAAGAGACCAATACATTAGTTGAAACAACACCTCTTATACTGAGGAAAACTGACGCTGGAGAGGAAAATATGCTATTTTCTAGATGCACAAGTAGACTGTAGCAGTGGGGTGATTTATGGGGGAACTGTGTTGTGTATTCCCGGAAACTATAGGTAAGTTCTGTTGGTGTATTCCTGAAAAATGTGGGTGAATTCCTGGAAACTGTGGGTGAACTGTGTTAGTGAATTGCTGGCAACTAGGGTAACTGTGATGGTGTATTCCTGGAAACTGGGTGGTGTGTTCTTGGGAACTAGTTGAACTGGTTGGTGTATTCCTGGCAACTGGTTGAACTGGTTGGTATATTCCTCGAAACTGGGGGCGTATTCCTGGAAACTGGTTGAACTGGTTGGTGTATTCCAGGAAACTCGAGGTGTATTCCTGGAAACTGGTTGAACTGTTAGGTGTTTTCCTTGAAACTGGTTGGTGTATTCCTAGGAACTGGTTGAACTGGTTGGTGTATTCCAGGAAACTCAGGGTGTATTCTTGGGAACTGGTTGAATCCGTTGGCATATTCCTGGAAACTGGCTGAACTGGTTCGTGTATTCCTTGAAACTTGGGATGAACTTTGTTGATGTATTCCTGAAAACTTTGGGTTAATTCTGCCTTATTTGAAAAGTCAACGCCTTGATTGAGAAACCTGAGATCTTGCAAGTGTTCCCCTGTGGTACCTGGTATTTATCGAGATTTAATTACCCAACGCACAGGAGCCATTGGGTGTGTGGATTAATATGTACGGCTGACAGAAATGTGGAGAAAAGTCCTCAGGGATGAAGTCTGGGTTGAGAACTCAGAGATACATTTATCATTGATGATGGATACAGTCATCAGTAATTCAATGCTCAAAAGGCGTCCTCGGTTTGGACAACTGTGAGATATGTGAAGAGCATAAGGAGGTTTCACCAGTAGCTCCTCATTATAACCACTTTAGGCTTTTTGAGAAGCTGTGTTTGACCGGTGAAGACTTCAACACAGGATGGTGGAAATCAGTGTTTGACCTGTGATAACTTCAAAACCGGATGGTGGAAATCAGTGTTTGACCTGTGATAACTTCAAAACAGGATGGTGGCAATCATTGTTTGACCTGTAAGGACTACAGTACAGGATGGTAAAAATCTGTGTTTGATCTGTCAGGACTACAGTACAGGATGGTAAAAATCTGTTTTTTGATCTGTGAGGACTACAACACAGGATGGTGGAAATATGTGATTGACCTGTGAAGAAATGCAACACAAAGTAGTGGAAGTCTGTGGTGCCACAGGGGTTGCCTCACTGGGACTGTGTCATGGTTGCCATCACTAGGACTGTGATATGGTTCCCATCATAAGGGAAAGTATCATGGTTGCAATCACCAGGAAAGTGCCATGGTTGTTATATGGTTGCCGTCACTAGGACAGTGACGGCTGCCATCAGTACGACTGTCATGGTTGCCATCACTAGGACAGAGGTGGTTGCCATGACTAGGACTGTGTCATGGTTGCCATGACTAGGACTGTGTCATGGTTGCCATGACTAGGACTGTGTCATGGATGCCATGACTAGGACTGTTTCATGGTTGCCATGTCTAGGACTGTGTCATGGTTGCCATGACTAGGACTGTGTCCTAGTTGGCATCACTAGTACTGTGTCGTGGTTCCCATCACTAGGACTGTGTCATGGTTGCCATCACTAGGACTGTGTCATGGTTGCCATGACTAGGACTGTGTCGTGGTTGACATCACTAGGACTGTGTCATGGTTGTCATCACGAGGACTGTGCCATGGTTGCCATCACTAGGACTGTGTCATGGTTGCCATCACTAGGACTGTGTCATGGTTGCCATGACTAGGACTGTGTCGTTGCCATGACTAGGACTGTGTCGTGGTTGACATCGCTAGGACTGTGTCATGGTTGCCATGACTAGGACTGTGTCATGGTTGTCATCACGAGGACTGTGTCATACGGTTGCCATCACTAGGACGGTGATACGGTTGCCGTCACTAGGACTGTGTAGAGGTTGCCATGACTAGGACTGTGTCATATGGTTGTCATCACTGGAACTATGTCATACGGTTGCCATGACTAGGATTGTTTCATGGTTGCCGTCACTAGGACTGTCATGGTTGTCATCACTGGGACTGTCATGGTTGCCATCACTAGGACGGTGATACGGTTGCCGTCACTAGGGCTGTGTCATACGGTTGTCACCACTAGGACTGTGTCATACGGTTGTCATCACTAGGACTGTTTCATGGTTGCCGTCACTAAGACTGCCATGGTTGCCATCACTAGGAATGTGATGCGGATGCCATTGGGATGAATGCATGTGGTAACAGTCACTAGTGGTGTGCGTACATGGAAGGGCGGGAACAATATCCGTATCTTCGATCTGTACAAATGGATATCGTTGTTGCGATATAATCACAATTAATCTGTATATACGGAACCATATAAGCGCTCTATTCACCTTTTAAGTGTATATATGAAGCGTACTAGCGCTGTATTTACATTATATTGTATATACCTATTGACGTATTTAAGCGATATATTACAACATTGTGTATAAAAGCGAGTTTGTGCCATCTGTGCCGGATCTCTGCTGGCGCCCAACACACGAATCTGTGATTGACATGTTAATATCCTCGTCCTTCAATTCGTGTATTTTTATTTTGAAATGAAAGAAACCGCCGTCATATAGCTGGAATATTGCTGAGTGTGGCGTTAAACAACAAACAAACAAATAAATGTAAGGACAAGCAGCAAGTAGGGTAGGCTGTTATGTTTCAGGTTTTCCCAAACTTTAACCGTCGCCTCTGCCTGTGGTTATTCTAAAGATTAATTTTCCGTGGACTTTCCTGTCGTTCCATTTTCTTCCAAATGGCGTCAGGCAATGTCGTTACAAGTTAGTTCAAAGAGCAATGTCACGAGATAAAAGAAACACAATCTTTCTCAAAATGTATTATTGCATTGGCCATTAAACCTTTTCTACGTTGAGTGCCAGGCTTTGAAAAGGTTTTCGTTAAGATCAGGGTCAGCGTTAATTCTTTTGTAACATTTGGTGGTCCATTTGTGAGGTATGGTTACCTTTACAGCCAGGTTTATATGCTTATTAACAAATCATTCCGAAACAATTGTCAATTACATTATGTCAAAGGTCAAGGTCACATTTTGAGAAGAAGTATCGTACTGGCTCTTGAATATGACACAAAGATTATTGACATTAGAGCATATCCTACAATCGACTAGTTCCACATTGGTACATGCAATGAGAAGGTCGAAGAAAATATCACTAAAATATTGTAGTTTCACTTTCTCTAAAACATCAATAATAAAGATTTTGTCATTAAACTTTGAAGATACCCTCTTCAGAATGTGGCGCTGCTTTGAAAATCGAATTGATCAAAATAGTCAAAGGTCAGCATTCAGCATTCTTGTAAAACATGGTTACATTGTTGTCAGTTCATGGTTTACTCTACAGTAAGGAAACCTTATATTTGCACGTATTTACAACGTGACATGTGAAGGTATGGCTGCCAAAGGTCAAGGTCATCTGTGAGGTCATTGTGAAACGTGGTGGTTCCATTCATTGGTCTGGCAGTGCATGGTGGTAGATCTGCGGAGCTTTGAGGAAATGGTTAAAGGACTGCGTCTGTTTTTGCACATATTTGGAGCTCAAGCACTGACGTTGCAGACCGTACATTGCTTTATCAAGATGATCTGAGATAAACCACACACTCATGGAACGTCTAGATCCCAAGGTGAAACATATGTAGAAACACAGTGAGTGAGTGAGTGAGTGAGTGAGAAACAGAGCGATGAGTGAGATAATTTGGTTTTACGCAGCTTTTAGTAATATTCCAGCAATATCGCGGAAGGGGACACTTGAAATGGGCTTCACACATTGTACCCATATGGGGAATCGAACCCGGGTCTTCGGCGTGACGAACGAACGCTTTAACCACTAGGCTACCCGACCGCCCCTGTACAAACACACACACGAACACAAATGCAGTTCAAGTGATCATGGTCTGAAGAATGCACAGTAGCATGGTGTTTTGCTTACTCTGAAGCATGTCCTGAAGCATGTCCTGACACAGGTCCTTACACAGGTCCTGACACAGGTCCTGACACAGGTTCTGAAGCAGGTCCTGACACAGGTCCACCTGGGTTGTGCCACCGGATGAATCCCACTGTCCTGCAGCAGAGTGGGTGCTAGTATCAGGGATGCTTGCTTCATCAGAGTGTCCATGGAGTATGTGTGTGTGATGTGCGACCTGTTGTGAGATATTTAATGAAGATTAACTTCATTGGTTTGAGAGGGGGTTGTCTTCTGTGTTGATTGATGAAGACAATCTTCAGTCTGTGGGCAAATTGGTGTTGATTGGATGGTGTTTTTGACGGATATATTGCGTATTGTTTTAGTGGGTAACGTGTTCTGTTTTAATTGCGGAAGGAGTCGTATAGTGTGTGTTGTTAGAGGCGAATGTGATTTTCTTGATACTGGCTTCGGAATTATATATGGAAACCTTTTAGGGTCATTTGTTCTTGTTTGTTTTTGCTTTTTGAAATTTCAAGATACTAAGATGAAATTTCAACATAGCGTCTTGAAATTTCAACTTAGTATCTTACAATTTCAAGAAAAAAATAAATAAATGTCCCTAAAAGGCTTCCGTAGTTATATGCACAATGAAAGGAATAATACCATCAATACGTTCATGTATAAAACACTTCGACAATGAAGCTTCATAAGCGATCTAATGACAGATATACTTTTTTGGTCTGTTTACAGTTCCCTGTGTCAGACCTGGATGTGTCATATTTGCAAATGTGCCATTATGGATACCAACCACATCATTTCGTAAAGTCTGAATTGATTAAAAAAACAAATTTAGCAAAATCCAATTTAGCCAGTAATAGCTTAGTTTCCTCCCCGAGAGTTCGCCCAGAAACACCTTGGAGTTATATCAAACTGGCGTTCTTCCTCATATAAATACAAGCAAAGCCCTTTGGCAATCTAACAGCAATTACTACCATAAAAAGGGGCAGATCTCTGAACTCACGAAGTGAACCATGAAAAACGATTACCTCCCCTGAAACCAGCTATTACCGCGTGAAGATGCTTTGCAGTGTATTTCATTCGGCCGGCAGGGGAGCCCTCTCCCAAGGAGAAGTAAATACAACACTTAAACTGCAGCTCGGTAGAACGAATGTGAGAATTGACGTCTAAAATAGCGTGGAGGATATGAATAGTCAGAGGAACTGTGTCACGCACGGTGCTGCGGCCTCATCGCAGTGCCTGACAGAGGAGCCGCTGTCAATGTCAGGAACGTTGTTCTCGCAATTCAAATCATATTTGATCGTAGGTATTAAACTGAAGCCATGGCATTTAGTTTACAGAGTAAGCACAGCGTGTATCGATCCAGTGCTACGCCTGGTCCAAGTGAACGTCCCCGGTGATGGACGTCATCACTGCATGGATTTGGCGGTCGGCACCCTGCTCATGTCACTGGTTTGTCTGGCCCAGACACGATGATACTGTGTATTGGATACGACTTGTAATTGGACGCCTGCATATCATTATAACAGACCACGAATACGTTATATGACATGGTGGCCGTGTGTCCCTTGTCGTACGTACACAGGGAACCTTCACAGTCCAGACACACTACAGACTCACTACAGACACACTACAGTTGTACCAATCCCCACTACACTTGACGGAGGTAGATTCAGTTTAGGAACCCACTTACCTTTTATCTAACCTATCAACCACACGCCTGACGGAGGTACTTCAAGCTTCATATCACACTTAAGACAAAACTAACTTCTACCCCACACACGGGGGTATTTCAAGATTCAGGTCACACTTAAGACAAAGCTAACTTATCTCTCCATCTCGGTGTAGTTCAAGTTTAAGATCATACGACAGAGCCTAGCTATCTTTCAAACTTGGTGTACTTCAAGTTACAGATCACACGAAAGAGCTAACCTATCTCGTAAGTACTGCGGGTTCGCAGTCAGGATACTTCATCATATTGCCTTCCAATGATGATACGATATGGGTCAACCGAGGCTCGAACAGTCCTCACTGACCTCAATAAATGATGGTCGACCAGGTGACTCGAGGTCAATACTCTTCATTAACACACAGGCCTTCCGTACGTCCTAGTGAAAGCCAGGGATTCGGTTTCATCACACTTGCCCAAGGCCTCGTGTACAACATGTCGCTCGCCAGAAGCACGAGACTCTCCGTAGCTTTAGGCCGTGATGCTCGGCACACCAGTGGGATCACATACGGAGATCCCCCCTTAACTCTGCTCCTCATCAGCTGTCCAGGCTTCAGTGTACAGTGACAGGAGCACAGCGTGCCTTTATCTGACAATAATTGGACAAGTCCCACCAAGCAACTATGGTATCAGGCAAGTGTTCGTCAAGGAACCTTATTATAAACGAATTACTTTGGTTCTCCTAGCTACAACAAAGCTGCAGGAATGAAAACATCCCATAATGCGGTCTGTTTCAGGAGCTAATTCCATCTTGTAGATCCCGGTTGCAGAGGCAATGGGGTATTGAATGGGGAGATGCTTTAGGGGTGATATGACACGACACGAAAACTCTGCCGACACCCTCAACGCAAAGCCCCGCATCACGCCCTGATCAAAACACTGATCACTTATAACAACTTGACATAGATACAATTAACACTGATCTCTGTTAAAAACTCGACATACAATTAACAATGATTGCTGTTAACAACTCAACACACAATCAACACTGATCGCTGTTAACAACTCAACATACAATCAACACTGATCGCTGTTAACAACTCAACATACAATCAACACTGATCGCTGTTAATAACTCGACACACAATCAACACTGATCTCTGTTAAAATCTCGACATACAATCAACACTGATCACTTATAACAGCTCGATATACAATCAACGCTGATCACTATTAAAATCTCGACATACAGTCAACACTGATCGCTGTTAAAAACTCGACATACAATCAACACTGATCCCTGCAAAAAACTCGACACACAATCTACACTGATCGCTGTTAATAACTCGACACACAATCAACACTGATCTCTGTTAACAACTCGACATACAATCAACACTGATCGCTGTTAACAACTAGACACACAATCAACACTGATCACTGTTAAAATCTCGACATACAATCAACACTGATCGCTGTTAAAATCTCGACATACAATCAACACTGATCGCTGTTAAAAACTCGACATACAATCAACACTGATCGCTGCAAAAAAACTCGACATACAGTCAACACTGATCGCTGTTAAAAACTCGACATACAATCAACACTGATCGCTGTTAACAACTAGACACACAATCAACACTGATCGCTGTTAACAGCTGGGTTCTCCGCCAGGGGCACTGCTTTGCTTGACATGATGAGTACAATTTCAGAAGTTGCGTCCAACAATGTTATAGGCGATCACATTCGCGTTATCGGTATATAAATACCTTTACTGGGTACTCGTTAACTTGTCAAGGCCATCATCACTAGATCGATCTCCTTGCAGTTCGAAAATACCGATATTAGGTCATGGCGAGGATACCGCCAAGGCATGAAGTGACACCTTCTGAAGCGATATGGTCAGGATATGGTCGGGCCATGGAGTGACACCATCTGAAACGATATGGTAAGGATATGGTCGGGGCATGAAGTGACACCATCTGAAACGATATGGTAAGGATATGGTCGGTGCATGAAGTGAGACGATCTGAAACGATATGGTCAGGATATGATCGGGGCATGGAGTGACACCTTCTGAAACGATATGGTCAGGATATAGTCGGATCATGAAGTGACACCATCTGAAACAATATGGTAAGGATATGGTCGGGGCATGAAGTGACACCATCTGAAACGATATGGTCAGGATATGGTCGGATCATGAAGTGACACCATCTGAAACGATATGGTCAGGATATGGTCGGGGCATGAAGTGACACCAT